TGGATCTCACAGAATACTCAAATAATATTAAAAATGCAACCAATTTATATTTCTTCATGATTAGATGGTTCATTTAAAATATCAAATTTTAAAAAAAGGTAAAAATATTTATTCTACAATTATACAGAGTGTGGTAGACATTTTAAACTGTCACTTGTGTAGTGCTAGTGAACTTAAGTAAATGGTAATGGTGTTTTCAGCTAACTGATTTTTTACCATTTTTTTTGTTATATATCATCAGTTACCCTCATGGCTTGGAATGATACACACCATGTATTTGCTGTTGAAATGTTTCTGGAGAATCTGTAATTGCAACACAGAGCTTTTCATTCTCATTTCATGCTATGCTGGAATGTTACTGTTCCGGGTAGAAAATCAATACTACTATGGGTTAAAAATATCATTGTTGTTATTTCAGCACTTAAAAAAGGTCACCTTGAAGACCTCGAAGTGCTCAAATTCCAGAAAATGTTCAAGCTGTAAGACAGTCTGTTCTTCGATCTCCTATACCAGGGGTTGGCAACCTGTGGCACACCAAGCAATTTCCAATGGCACACAGCTGCAAATGACATCACGAAGTTCGAACCAATAAGTACTACGGCACAAAGATATTTAGATGCTTTAATTTTAATATATACTAAAGTATATATACTATATAAAATATATTGTAGAACAGGTATATTGACCTTGACTTGTATAAAAATACGTATGCTGTTGGCACACTGAATGATTTTAAAACTCTTAGTCTACATATATTTAGCAAAAGGTTACCAATCCCTGTCCTATAAACATGCTTCTGCTTTGGCATTGTCTGATCGAGCCGTCAGAAGAATTTTACACACTGATTTGAAGTTCCATCCACTCAAGAACTGCAAGAACATGATTCAGGAAAATCACATGGCATGTTGTAACAGTATCCCCCAAAATGTTACTGCAAATGCTGTTCTTCTCATAAGTCCCTGGCTGTGTCAATAAGCAGAATTTTTGCTAGGGGTCAGTACAAATCCTAGGTAGTTTCATGAAAGACCACTACCCAGCGAACATGTGACTGCGTGAGGTACAATTATGAAACTTTGTGTATGGGAGTCCTTACTTTTTTGAGGAGGAAGACTACTTAATTACAGAAACATCTGACTGGTATGTGGTGATGCTGCAGACCTATCTGGAACCAAAACACAGAGACCTTGAGAGTGCTGATTTGTGGTTTCAACATTATGAAGCCACCACACACACACACACACAGAAAGAAGATCAATAGAAGCTTTGAGAGAGAGAGAGAGAGCTGATTCCAGGACATTTGATTTCCTTACATGGTGACATTAGATGGCTTGAACACTTGCTCACTCTTAGCCCCTGTGATTATTTTCTCTGGGGTTACTTGAAAGTTGAGGTCTATAAACATCTACCAGCAACCATTGAAGAATTATAGAATGCTATTTGACAAAAAGTGGAAGAATAACTGCCAGAAATGACTCTTCAGGTGATGGGAAACTTTAGAAATCATCTACAACAGAAATATTACAAATAGATCCCACCATCTGGAGCATGTCATTTTTAAAACCAAATCAATAAAGCACTGCAACTCTTTGTTTAAACAACAGTGAAATCATTTTTTTAATAACAGTTACTTTAGTCTTTTTATCAACCTTTAAAATGTGCTAGGTATTTCTGCCACACCCTGTATTTAATTTTTATATTGTGTGTACAATATATATATATATATATAAATAAAATTTGTGTGTGTTTTATTTGGTATGAGGATTGGCTTTGGTATACCAATGTGAACTACTTTTCCCATCCTTTCCATTTGAGAAAAACATGGAAATTTTCATGTAAAAATCTGATCTAATTTCTGTGGCAAATCTGCTGCAATTTTCCAAATCCCTTTATTATAATTAATCATTATTATTATTTTTAAACAGGCGACTTTAATGGCTTTATTCGTTTCATTCACTGGAATTTGAAACAACTCTTTATGCTCTCTCTCAAATCTTTGTTGTTTATGGTATATCTTTCTTTACATTTTTTTAGCTTTTTTAAATGTTTTGATTCATTCAGTAATGGTTTAAGCCTTGTTTCTTTTACTACAATCTCTTGGCCAGTCAATTCTGTAGTGCAGTTGAGGTTAATTTTAGTAGTTGGTAAATAGTCCATATTAATATACACTGGTACACACCAGAGGGTACTGAAAAGCTGACAATCTGATTGCTTTAAAACAATTAGTATTCTGTTTGTTCATTTGGTCAGATTTGGGGAACTTTGTCATTCTTTTCAGTGCCCATCATAGCTATTTCAGCAATAACCACCAGATTTTAGCCCATTCCTCTTCCGTTAACGTCTCTCAGTCCAAGTAACGACAGTCTTTCAGCTTTCTCCTCAAATTCTCACTTGGGTTATTGTCTGGACTTTGGCTTACAAAACATTGACATTGTTTTTCATGAATCATTTCTTCGCCGACTTTGATATTTGTTTTGGAATATCTTGGCAAGCACTTCCAATGAACTCTTTATAAAACTGGCTTTTATGCCAGACAAACAAAGCGATTTTACCTTGTTTGTGATCTTCAGATTGTTCTTGACATTTCTGTGGACTTGGATTT